TAAAAATAGAATAACAGGATAGAATAAATAAGCATAAAATAAATAAACGCTAAGTAAAAGCTAAATTAAAAAGGTGGTCTTGAGCCTGTTCTTAAAAACATGTACGTTCTCTGCAGCCCTGAGCTCCTCCGGCAGGCTGTTCCACAGACGAGGACCATACCACTGAAAAGCTGCCTCTCCGTGAGTATGTGTCCTGACTTTAGGGACAATCAAAAGGCCAGTACCAGAGGACCTCAGGGTCCGCGAGGGTTCATATGGTAAAAGCAGAGTTGGCAGTTCGTCTACAAGACGAACTGCCAACTCTTGAGCCACGATCGCCCCCATGATGGATGTTTTACTGTCACCACCAGAGCCAAAGACCAGAGCTGGATTCTTAAAATATTCACATTAAATCCCTACAGCTCCCTCCCACAGTCCAAATAAATGCACTTAGTGGGGATAGGTTAATTGGAAACACTAAATTGCCCATAGGTCTGAATGGGGTAAATGTGAGTGTGACTGGTTTCCTCTGTCTATGTGTTAGCCCTGCGACAGACTGGCAACCTGTCCAGGGTGTAACCTGCCTCTTGCTCAGCTGGGATAGGCTCCAGCGCCCCCAGGGGACCCTAAAAGGGTAAGCAGAAGTGAATGGATGGAACTACAGTCTTATTCTGATCATCCAGACAGATTAACTGAATATTATCAGGTCCTGAGTAGAGAGAGTCTGACTGGATGTTGCTACTGGGAGGAGGAGTCTAAAGAGGTTAAAGGAAAAAGATGTGGAAAATCTTCCTTCCTGAATTGATTACTACAAAGGTAATCATGGAACTTGCAGATAAGAAACAGATGTATAAATCCAAATGTGATCAAATAAAGTGCAACAACATAGAAAAAAAGCAACTTATGTCAAACACTCATCTCTGAACTTGAGTACACATGCTTTATTGCACTCTAGGTTTGTGTATTTCAAATAAACATTTTCTGTCTTACAGTTGTTTATTGTACAAAAATATAAAGCCAACATTCGTCTATTCTCCTACTCCTAATTTTGTTTTATGTATGTAGCTAGAGACTGACCACATATGCAGTAACAAATAAAAACATAAATAAGCAAGCTTATTTTTTTTTCCATATATTGTCGCAGTTACACATGCGACTCTCCCCTCTTTTAACAGCTGACAATAAACAGTTTTAATAACAACAGCTGCTTATAAGCTAACATGATGCCAGCTAATGCTAGGTTCCAGTGTCTGAAAAAATCACACTTTCCCTCTGATAAATTGTTTGAATACATTCTCACATAGCACGAAGGTTTCTTTGCTAAGTTTCCAAGTGCAGTTATGTTGGATCCACGTCATAGAAGGTTTCTCTAATGCTGCCTAAAACAAGAGGCTAACAGCACTCTACTGCCAGTGCTGAGATTTTACACACCGTGCCTCTAAGCTCATTTTTGGTGATATCAGAATGATTTGGTGTAAGCGAGATAAACAGAATTCCCACGAATCCAGGACCCAATACTGCTGCTCCCTGGTTAGTGCAACATAGGCAAAACTGCTGGAGTTATAAAAGTTCAATCCCTATAGAGAACTGAGGGAGTTCATGACTTCACAAAAGACCGAAAATACAAATCAGGAGTCACAACTGTAAAAATTAAATAAATAATAATAATAATAATAATAATAATAATAATAATAATAATAATAATAATAATAATAATAATAATTGTACTACTCCCACAGATGAACAACTTGAAACTTGAAATTCTGGATTTATTTATTTATTCATTTGTTTATTTTTTTTTAATCTGAAAAATCACGACTTAACTTTTCACAGAAACAGTGAATACTTAATAGTATTTCCTTGGAACCTGCTTTTGTCTGATCATTTTTTGTCAGTGTCCCGGCACACTGCTGCAACAAACAAGTCAGTTTATTCTGAACTGGGTGATGACTCCTTTAAATGAAAATTAGCTTGTAGCTTGTTATCTGTCTAATGATGTGACTGGATATGTGAGCTCAAATATTATTTGTTGAATTTAGCCTGTTGCATCAGTTGCTCACTTTCTCTTATCTCGGGGTTAACAAACTCAGTTGTTGCTTACTCTGCAGTCTGGAAGAGGACCCTGTACTCTGCACAGACTTGGATGAGCTTTGTTAAACGAGGTTCATGTTAACAGTTTAAATTACGCATTTTTTGGAGGCAGTGACAACCAAAGACAACGGTGTTTGTTACAATCTGAGAAAGGAAGAAGCAACAAATGTATGTTTTTATTATGTTTTTCTGCTTCTATTGCTACTGTTAGTGATGAAAAACCAAGAATGTGCACAGACTATTATTAGTACAAGTAGTAGTAGGATTAAGTAGTCGTAAATTATTAAATATATGAGAATTTGTAAGTTTTTGAGATTTCTATATCATCAATGTGATTTTTGTTTTTCCCACCAAAACACTTGTGATGCAAATTCATATTTATTTTTTTATCTGTCAGGTTCAATAAACACTACATTTTTCACTCTAATTTTCTGCCAATTATTTTATGATTAATGCTTTAAAGAGTTAAAGAGGTTGTGTCATTAACATAATGCTTTTAGAGGACTGTAGCTCATTCTGTGTGTCTGTAGCAAAGTATTTAAACAGTTAAAAAAAATTCTCAGTTTAAGTTACAGGTACAAAAAAAAATCCTTGAAATGAAGCTCAAAAAATCTAGAGAGAACTATGGTGCAAGTTGATTTCGAACTTATTTTCATAAAAAAGGGCGATCGTGGCAGTTTGTCTTTTAACCAGAAGGTTGCTGGTTCTAGTCCCGGCTCGGACAGTCTAGGTTGTTGTGTCCTTGGGCAAGACACTTCACCTACTGCCTACTGGTGGTGGTCAGAGGGCCTGGTGGCGCCAGTGTCCGGCAGCCTCGCCTCTGTCAGGGTAGCTGTGGCTGCAATGTAGCTGGCATCACCAGTGTGTGAATGTGTGTGTGAATGAGTGGAAGGCTGAATGTGTAAAGCGCTTTGGGGTCCTTAGGGACTAGTAAAGGGCTATATAAATACAGGCCAAAAATAGCATCTACATTTGGATGGTAAACACTCCTTTAAACACCATCACAGAAAACAGATTTCACAGTGTTGCCGTTTTCTATATGTTGAAACATATAGAAAACCTTGTGTCAGATATATATTTTTGCAACTCTGAATATAAAAAAAAATATGTCAAATTTTTCTTCTGGTTGCTTCCAATGCTGTGTTTGTAGTTCATGTAGTTTTGGTCAGTCAGTGTAATAATCAGCATCATGAACAGAATCAGATGTTGTGATGAGTGAATGAAGTCAGACTGTAGATTTTCCTTCTTCTAGCTGTACTGACTGACCTTTGACCTCATGTGTTGATGACTCTTCACCTCTGTCTCCTCTCACAGGGAGAAGATGATCTGCAGGATCCTGCTGCTCATCATCCTCACCTCATGTGTCTCTGGTTAGTTTACAGCTTCACTTTATGAACTCCAAATAAAGCTCAACAACAGATTTGTTCCAGTTCTCAGTGTGTCTGTTCCTCTCTTTCCCTCTCTGTCTCCTCAACAGGATCATTTGTAGTCAATGTGACACAGACCTCCTATCAGGCAGAGGAGAACCACAACATCACACTGGAGTGGACGTTCACCATCATAGATGACATGTCTTTGATTAGTGTCCTCTGTTATCAGAAAATTGAAGAAAAAATAGTAGTCTTGTACAATTTTGTTCATTATTTTGAGGTGTCAGAGTCTCGGGATGAAAAGTTTTCAGGACGAGTCCAGAGTGACAAAGACGCCCTCAGAGAAGGACGAATCAGACTCCAGCTGTCCAGACTCAGGACTGATGACTCGGGTCTTTATGTTTGTGCAGTGTTTACTAACTACTCCTCAGGTTCAGCAAAATGTGATCTCAAAATCACTGGTAAGTTTATTCAGTAGAATTAATAGATTTTTCAATTTTCACTCGTTCACTGGCTGGACTTTTAATCTGCACTTGATGGAGTTTAATTGTTGAGAATTTTATTATTAGTCAAGATCAGCTTTCATAATTAAAACACATTTCATGCATGTAAGACAAACATCAAAATGTGCTCATGCTGGACATGAACATATGTTAACTGTTTCTTTCTTCTTCTTTTTTTCTTTCTTTTTTTGTCTTTTACAGCAGCTTCTGATCAACTCAGAGATCGACTTTAACACCCAACACAGTTGGGAATGGCACTCACAGCACCACCTCTGATGTGGTGTTTGCCATAATTCAGAAAGAAAGTGCAGACACAAGACTTATTTATAGCTGTAGAGATGAGTTTCTCAGATTACAAGTAATAAATCCAAGTTTCTTTGATGATTTTACATCTCATCAACACCAAATAATTTAATTCCAATTTCTTGTTTAAAATGTATTTTCTGTTTTTTTACAACCTGCAAAATGATCATTAAAGAAGTTAATTATAGGATTTGGCAAAAGTATTTTTTGTTATGGTGTGCTGGCTCTGTGAAGAAACAATACTGGCTTGATCAAGGCTTTCTGTGTTGTGTAAAAATCAACAAAAACAAAACATCAGCTATTTAACACTAATAAAGTGATTGAAAACACTGAGACCTGAGGGCCATGGCCACAAGAAGAAGCATAAATACTCACAGACAGGTAAGTCAAAATTGTTTTATAGTTTTGATATGGACCAAAGAATATACAGATGACTTTCTGAAAAGGTTTGGTGTGAGTAAGGCAGCAAATGGAATTAAACCCAAAAATTAGTTAAGTGAGAGACATTTTAACCATCAGGATAATAAAGAGAATGAAGAAGAGATAACAGTGAAATTCTGAAAAAAATAGTTTTATTTGAATCAATTTGATTTTTAACATGAAACAAAATAACACTTCTCAATGTTTGTTTTTTTTAACATTAGTCAGAAAATTATATATTTATATATCAGTTTGAATTAGCACTTTGAGCAAAATGGCAGTGGTGAAATGTATTTTTAGTTAACTTCTGAAAAGAAACCAGTTTATTAAAAAAATGACAAAATAAATGTAGGTCAAAAAAAACGAAAGCATTTAAACATCTAGTAGAATGGAAACCTTCAGAGTCACAAAATTAAAATATAGAACTTGAATAAATGTGAATAATTCACAGTATTCTACTAAAAAAAATATATCGTGTACAAAAATATTTACAGCAATTATGACACAGAGTGTATTTTTATAGTTCAGAGATTTCACAAATCTCCCTGTAGGTTTAGGGGAAACTAGCCTACATCGATAATTGTTGTCGCTGCTAAAGCTAACTTTAATCTTGTTTTATGATGCTTTAGTAAATAAAATGAAGTAGAAAAATGCTACATCAAATGCTCATTTGATTTAAGTTTGATGTGCTGATAATGTATAAAACAAACAAAAAAATCATAAGGAAGCGTTAAAGCTAGTTTTATGTTTATTGGTAATGAGATGTGGTTCCCAAATGAAGCATCATTCTTGTGTATGTCCATTTGCGTCTTGGGATTACAACCATAACTTATTATTGCAATATTAAACTGTACAAAAAGTTAATCAACTGTTTCCTATATGAGTACTTTGTACACACTAATTTCCCCAAAAAGAATCTGACTGAAAACCAAACATCTCTTCTGAGAAAACTTTATCCTACTTCAAAGGATGTTAGATCTGAGAGGAACTGCAGCCAATCTATACGCTCATGAAGTGATGACATTTGGAAAAAAAAAAAAAGCTCAGGCGTTATTGCTTAGTCTAGATGTCACAAATAAGCCACCTTGCTTATTTTACTTCCTTTGGTATGAAGTTTGCAGTGTGGTTAGGCAACAATAATAATAAGTCAGTTAAATGCAGGAAAAGTTGTGATTAACATTTCTTCAATCCTTCTTTTTCTTCGATGCAATTTTGGACTGCCTCTTTGAGCTTCCCAAATTGCTCAGTTTCAAACAATTCAATTAAAATCAGTTTAAAGTCCTTCATATAGTCTTAGAAAAAATACTAAATGAGACCAATAAATTTGAACAAAAACATATAAAAACACAATAAGAAATCAGTTAAAGCTAGCTTCATGTTTACAGGTAGATGTTAATTCCTTGGTTGTTCACTTCACAATCCATACTAGCTTTGGGAAAAAAACACATGTTGTGCTCATGTCCATGTGCTACAAAAGACAGTCTCTGCCTATATGTTGATGGAAGAGGATAACATTCAAAGTGCTAAGAGGAAGAGGAGGATAAGGAGAATGGAGAGAAGGGGAAGACCGAGGAAGAACCTTCAGAAGCATTGAGGAGCTGATCACACCATGCCGGCTCGTCCAGGTTTATTTCAACAAATGGGTCACTGGAGCAAACTGCTGTGAGAGAGGACAAAGATTGGGATTGAAGAAGACAGTGGATTGCAAAATGGAAAATGCCAACTTATCTGCAAACACCTAATCACTGTGCAGCAGTAAAACATTAAAAAAGTGCCACAGAAACAGACAATGTTCACTTTTAGAGTAAAACTGATGGATCACTTCTGCAGCCAACACAAAATGCAGACATTTTCATTTAAAGCCAAATGGTCTCTACCTTCAGTTGGTCACTGACCGGTTGCTACTGTAGGTCTACCTTTTGAATTTTGCATGAAGTAAAAACATTTCAGGAAAAAAGTCCACATTTGGATGTAGGGATTGATGAGGGAGACATAATTCACATCACTCCTTAGACCAGCGACCACAGTAAGAGTCCCATATACAGCTGTGGTTGGACGTTTCCATACACTCATTATCGGCATGAATGTCATGGTAAATAGTCTGACAAGGATAAAGCCTATTAAATTTTTAATTGTAATCATGGTTGACTACAACTGGCAGGTTTTCTTTGCCGCATAAAACAATTTGTTTAGCAGCACGTATTGGAATAAATATAGGGGCAATCGTGGCTCAAGAGTTGGCAGTTCGTCTTGTAATCAGAAGGTTGCCGGTTTGAGCCCCGACTCCGACAGTCTCAGTCATTGTGTCCTTGGGCAAGACACTTCACCTGTTGCCTACTGGTGGTGGGCAGAGGGCCCGGTGGCGCCAGTGTCCGGCAGCCTCGCCTCTGTCAGTGCGCCCCAGGGTGGCTGTGGCTACAATGTAGCTTGCCATCACCAGTGTGTGAATGTGTGGATGACTGGATGTAGTGTAAAGTAAAACGCTATACAAATACAGGCCATTTACCATAAAGAGTTGAGCCATATGTATACAAAGAATTTCAGTGAATATTTCATGTTTTGTCTTTAGACATACATAGAAGCGAGTTATATTTTGGAGCTTCATGGTAAACTTTCTCGTGCAAGGCCTGCATGATTTCTGAAAATACAATAGAGAAATGACCGTACTGCTTTGTGTTTGTATTTGCATTATTAAAGAAAAATCTTACTTGGGTTGTTGTTGTTTTCATTCTGCTGCTCCCCAATAGCATCAAAGAAAAGGCTGGTACTGCTTGGTGGGTTGGATATCTTGTCAGCTTCATCGCTACTCAGTGAGGGAGTGGTGTTTTCAGCGGGTGAAGTCTCCACACCGTTTGCTTCTGGCTGTTCCTCAGGAGCTGAGTAGAGAGGTCAAACAGAAGACAAACAGGATTTGTAAGATAAGATGTAACTTTCATTAGTGCTGCAGAGTTTTGGGTAATCCCCGCAATGCTAAAGATATTATTTAGTGTAGTTTAAAGCCCTTCCCACAACATACAGTACTTTTTTCGAAACATGTAATTTGCAATCTTATTTGTAATTTGTAATCTTACTGTGTCTCTGTCCTACCCAAAGAATTTTACTTTACTTCTAAAAAGATAACTTATTGATGGCAAAATATCTTGCCTTGTAGTTTAGGCTGTTTAGAAATAATGGCGTAGTGTGGAGGCATATATTCTTGGACCTCTCTGGGCCGCGTATTACAAACAGAGCATTGTTTAAATCCTACTTTAGTGTTGATGCTGATCATGAGTAAAACACAGTGTCACAAAGCTCAAATCTCTCAGTGTGGTTTCTTGTAAATGACAATGCATTCACAGTACTCAGAGGCAAGAAGTCATGAAGTACAAATACATAGTTACTATACCTAAGTAGAATTTTCAGGTATCTGTACTTCTGAAAAACAGTTTCATTTTGTACCGTTCTCTCCAGTGGAGTCCTTTTCCTCCGACTGTAGACTCGTGCCATTAGCGACCGGTGGAGGTGAAAGGTCATCGGTGGCTTCAATATCTTTAGGTACCGGTCGCTCTGAGATGTGACACACATACAAACGCCAAAGCAAACTCATTAGGATCATCTTAAGTGCAGACATGTATATATAAAATGTAATTCCACAGAAACACACCCAGATCATCCAGGTAGACTGGCTCAAAGGTGCCAGTGGGCTGGTTGAGATGACCAACAGGATTTGGACGCTGGAGGTCAAATGAATATGTCTGCACAAACAAACAAAAAAGCAAGCAAGATACTAATAAGCGAACATGATGTGTGTGTACCTGTTTTAATTGTAATATAATAAGCAAAGGCTAAGCGCACAGAAAACAATTTCTACTTCCATTTCTTTTTCTTACCCTGGAGGCTCGCCTCAAGAGGTAGAGGATGATACACAGAATTATAATCACTATGATGATAAGCGCCAGGACAACATAACCTAGAGACAAAGATAAGCAGAGCTGTTTTAAAAGAAGTGGTAATAACATTGGGACCACCCAAAAAAGGGAATGGGCTCTAAAAATTAATATTATGCGGTTATTCTTACATTGTTAAAATCCTTAGAACATCACTTAAAAAAATATAAAAGTATTTAAAAATGCAAAAGTAGAATTGCAGAGAAATTACAGTGTCAATTTCTTATCATGTAATCAGCATTGCAACCACAGGGGGACACTAGCATTTTTTATGGTTGATTTTTTTTTAGTCCCACCAAGTAAGAAAAACTAAAAGGTGTCTCGCCCAGGCAGCATACATATTTGAGCCAAATCTAGCCTACTTTTGGCACTGGCCAGTGTTCTGTGTGGCATGTCGTGTCAAAACTTTGGTGGAACTGTGGCTGAGTAGTGGTAACCAGGCACATCCTGAGTAAGTGCTGCCAGTCATAACCCAAGGCAGCTCACAGGAAACCACTGATATGTGCCAAAAATCCGTTAACATCTAAAAAATTTCACTGTTTTGTTTTTTCTTTTGTTTTTTTAAAATATAGATTCTAGATCCTATTTATTACCACTGAAACAACTGGCCACTGTAGTTTTAAGAAGTTCACTACAACATTAGTGTCCATTTGGACAGTTGAAAATGATAGCAGAATAAAACAGACAGATGTTTAAATACATAATAGATAATATAATAAAGATTCTTACCTGCAGACGAGCCAGCTGGAGGGGGTGCTAAAAGAAACAAACAGCAGGCTCAGTAATTCAGCTAAAGTCAGTTTATGTTTTTTTATAATGGAAAAGTGAAGCAAATTCACTTTATAGGTAAAAGCGTAGCATATGTCTGAATATTTAAATTACAAGAGGATGAGCATTTGATTTTGCTTTAGTTAATTTGCAACATTTACAAGTGACTTTCTGTTTAGCAGGCACTATTTAAGCATAGTGATTCAATTTAAGTCAGTAACTCCTTTCCATCTATCCATATGTCCTGTTAGTATCCATGTGATTACTATTCAGAAACTGCTTTTCAAAAAAAAAAAACCTTTAAGGATTATTTCGGTTTAATATCCCAAAGAATCGATTAAGGTTTTCCACAAGGATCAGTACTGGGCCCCTTTTAATACTTGTTTGTTTACAATTTTATTAAAATGATACTTTTATATCTACTACTTACGTACTTTTCTATCTACCCCTCACCAGGTCTGCCTTTGTTTTAGTCCTGTCTATAGGAAACACCCTAAAACCTGCAAATTAAAATACCCTGAACTTTGGTTCGATTGCAGGCTGTCCAACAAAGTTCAAACTGAACTTGGAGTGTATTTCTATTTTCAATAGGACGATATGTTTTTCTCTCTACTATACATTAAAATTACTTTTTATAATCCACAACAAGAACTATCTAGCTAATGGCCAAGTTTAAATAAAGCAATGAACCTATTTCTATTTCATGTTGACTTTGTGATTTCCAAACATATTTCTGCTGATATGTTGCTTCTTTTGGATTATTTATAATGTGACTAACCCTTATTCTAAATCTTAGTTAACTTTATTGTTTTAATTGTCTTTAAAATGATAGATAAAGATGTTTTACATGTTACATGTTTGTTTTGAGCACTATATATCATTTTAGATACAAGAGATCAAAAGTCAAGCAGAAACTTACTCCTTCTGCTTGACAATATGGCTCAAATGATTAACCTGAATTGATATTTAAGTCCTAATTTTAAAAAAGAAAGAGGAAAAAAGGGGTACAAGTGTGCTGCTTTGTGGTCCTTTTATGTGATACGGTGACGTGCCACTGTGTCTGAATATTCAGTTTGACGGTGTGTTAGAATAGGGTGAGAGTGTTTGAGTGGTTGTGTCTGCAGCCTGCTTACAGCTACAGAGCGTGTGAGCCTGCGAGTGTTGTGGTTTGATGCACAGGAAGACAACTTGGGGCGCAGAACTTGTGCATGCGCTTTCTGAATATGTGACGGTACCTGTAGTTCCTGAGCTGGTACTTGGTGTCTTTTGAGTCATTTTACCACCACGGTCTGCTCCTCCTTGTGTGACTATGCTGGTAGTCTCTTTCGTTGGTACATTAGTACTTGTTAGAGTAGTAGCCACTGTGCCTCCAGGCTGTGAAGAGTAACAAACATCCTTTGGTTGTAAACATTTCATCCTGTAATCTGCCTGATTTCTGTTTCACTCATTGAATATGAAGGCATCTGACTCTGTACAGCAGTAGTTTCTGATTCAAATGGCTTCCTGTGAGGAGTCTTTGTAGTTCAAGTGAGTTATTTTTTGATGTGGGAAGCCATGTCTATAGACTGTGAATAAAAAAAAATAAAGGTGACTGTAGCCACCGTGGTATCACCCAGTGGTTTTAGAAGTCTTATTTCGAAGGCTTGAGTTGAAAACTTTTCTAGACGCCATCTTGTTTTTTTGAAATTTGACGTCACCATTGAAGGATGAGTCTGGATGTGAAACCGAGTTCACTGCATACTCGTGCAGAAGCCACAACCTAATTCATACACTCCTTTCTCATCTATTTTACTCAAATTAGACTATAAATTAAAAAAAGGACATTATGTTGAGTCCAATATGACTTTAAACTAGCATCAGAGTCCATAAACTCCGGAAACAAAGCTCCCCCACAGGAGTTTCCGCACCGGAAGTAGCATATGCTAACGTGCACATAGTCAATTGTGTTGCTAGGACTGATTGGAGGCAAATTTCATTTCAAAAGACTACTCGAGGGAAGCCTTGGTAAAAGCATGGTTTTGTACAAAGTGTGCAAAACGGAGTTTGCATACCACCGTAGCACTTCAACCTTATGTTACCATCTAAATGCAAAACATGTTGCAGCGAGCGCAGAAACTATGGGAGCTGTTAGCGCTAGCAGTCCAAGTACCAACAAAAGGTGTCGGCAGCCCAAACTTCAGGCTTCAGGACCAATATTAGTAAGTCAACAAACTTTGGATGGATTGCTCTGGACTGTAGACCACTATCAGTGGTAGAAGATGTACAAGAAAATGTGCTACAGTTAGCGTCAGGTGATCCAACTTTCTAACTGCCATGGCGAAAGACTATTTTAAGTAAAATTCAACAGCTTTTTGACATTGATAAATAAGCAAAATTAGATGCATTACAGACAGCCCTGCTAATATGGAGGAACTACACCAGGAACAAACAAGACTGGGGCAACAGAAAGAGCCACTCATACAGGATGTTTCCACACTGTGGAATTCAGCCCTGGATTTGGTTTCTCGTCTATTAAAGAATCAAGAGGCTGTTTTTACTGCTTTAGACAAACAAAAGCACAAGCTAGTCATTTTAACTCCATCAGAGCTGGTAAAACTCCTAAAGCTGCCGACTGTCCTTGAGCCATGCAGGTAAATAATACTATTTTTAACAGTTTCTTCAAAAAGCCCTATAGTTACAGTTATTATGTGGATAAATAATGAATTTCTTGAACTTTGTACTACCGGTTTGTGACTGAGCTTCTTGGAGGTGAGACATGTGTCTCATGTTCAGTGGTTTTACCTGCTTTCTGCCGCCTGCATCACAACATGGTCTCTGATGATGACTCAAACTACATGGTGAAATTTAAGACTGCCTTCACAAAGGATCTATCCCAACGTGTAGCTACACTCAACCATCAGTGGCTCAAGATAGCTATTGTGCTTGACCCACGCTTTAAGGACTTCACATGTCTTGCAAGGGTAGAGCGAGAAGAGGCTTGGACCAGCCTTGAGGCCCTGCTGCAGGAACAGTGTAAAAATGCCACCACAAAGGAGCCAGCAAAGACTAAGACCCTCCTCCTCTCTTCATTGTCTTCATCAGCAAGACAGACTGTCCACTGCAGTGGTGGTCCAGTCGAGCAGGGACCTACCCACAGCTGTCTGTCCTGGTATTTGATTAGTGCTGCCACTTCTGTCCCATGTGGGAGACAGTTCTCATTTGCAGCTCACATAGTAACAAAAAAGAGAGCTGTCTTGAAAATGTGAACAGGTTAGTTTGTCTAAGTAACTGGCTGAAAGAGACCGACAGTAAATAAGCATGGAGGTATAGTGAGTCCAATGGGTTTGCTATTTTCTTGCACTGAAATGTTCGATGATCACACTGTTTTAGCCTAATGTTAAAATAATGTTGGCAAAGGTTACTCAGAGTTTAAAGGTGAAGCTGGTCAAATAACCTTTTATGTTTTTGCCTTATTTTTTTAAACTGCACTTTATGTTGAAACAAGTATTATTATTATTATTAATTAAAGACAATACCATTTCGAAAATTTACTTAAAGTACTTAAAATAGCACTTTATTTTTAAGTCTGCCCAATTTTGGAGAGGGATATTATTTTTTTTCTATTTTTTTCTTTCCAGAAATTAAAAGTGCTTAAGTTCACAATATTCATGTCCATGTCTATTATTTGATTCTGTCGCCCACTAAAACATTTTGGATTAAAAAAACATTTGCGCTTTGGGGCAAATTTTCTTGTGTGATTAAATGCAATTAATCAGATTAATTAATTACAAAGCCTCCAGTTAATTAGATTAATTTTTTTAATCAAGTCCCACCCCTAGTAATGCTAACTTACTACTATGAGCTTTGGCAAATAAAATAATAATTTCAACTATGAGTATCCTACCTTGACTTGGGTGTTGTGATTAATTATTAATAAGGAATTAAACAAAGCTATGAAATTGGTGTGCTCAGTGTTATTCATCCTTTGCTGAACTGTTATATTTTTCTTCATCAGTAGCAGAAAATAACTATTTGGGATGTAAAGCTGTTAATGGAGAATCAAGTCAAAGATTAAACTGAATTTGTGAAAACAGAAATTGAATAATTGCTCTTTATGTTGTGTGATGATCAGAGTTGTGATTAAAGGCAGTAAACGACAGCTTGTGGTTCTCCAACTCTCTTTACGTCTGTGCAGCTACTCTGCTTTTAACTACGCAGCTTCATAGTGACAACAAGACTTCAGGAAGTGACTGCATGTTGTGCACCAGGAAATAGCTCCACCATGTAACTGTGCATAAAGCCTGAGTAGGTGGCTTTTTGCACTTTAAAAAGAACCAGACTGCTGTAGATGTTACTTTTTATTCCCTTCCTAAAATAAAGCCTATTTGAAGTTTATGGTCACTGAATGGATGCCAATAATGTGAACTCATAAGCATGAATTCCCAAACCAGACTTTGCCGTTTTACACTTTGAGAACCAAGATTTGCTATTTAACTTTGAGATAATTGACTTACCATACTGTTTGTTTCCTCTGCTGTAGTACTCTCAGGGTCTGTGTCATTTTGCATCTTATTTTCAGTTCCATTTAAAACGTATGTGGCAGCGATTGAGGGGACAGGAGAAACTGTACCTGACATAAAGGAGAGACGCATAAAATCACTTTGAGCCACAGTTAACCTCCCCCCTCTGAAAATAGCACTGTAAAATAATAAACTATTACAACTCTGCAAATAATGTAGTGATATAAAAAATAAATAGAGTGACACAGTTATGCAACAACACAAGAGAAACAGCAGTCTGCTTCAGAAGATAAACCAATGCAGATTTTTATGGTAGTTTAAGAAGCTACAGAGTGCTGACCAGGTTCAGGGGTTAGTGTCTAAATCTGAATAGATTTACACAATACATGAGTTGTTCTTATCACAGAGGACATTTATACTGTAGCATTGCTACTTTTTTAAGGACAAAAATACTCCAATATTCTCTACATTACATCAGAAAGGAAATCAATATAATGTGATTTTCAGGTTATCAGATCAAGTGACTTTTATTTCTACAGCCTAATATTACATGTAAGGGTTCATAGACTTTACAGGCATAAACAAAACATATTAAGGACATCAGAGAATTATTCAAATGCTTTCAAAAAGTCAGACTCTTGCTTTTTGTCCTTTTCATACCACAGGTCCATCTGTATTTGGACTTGTGGTATGCAAGAACCTTGATATTCTCAGCTTGTTTTATGTTAATTAAATAATTTTCTAATTTCCCGTGGAACATACCAGTGGGTTGCACATGACTTGCACCATTTTGTCCCAGGCAAATAGGAGAAACTGCTAGAACTGAAACAAAGAGAGAGAATGAGCAACAGATAAACATGAGGTTAAAAATGAGCCAGTTAGTCATGGAAAGAGATCAAATTAAATAAAAACATCTGAAATTGCCTCAGGACGCAGACTGTGGGTGTGCAACATGATTCTACACTTTACCCTAACAAGTAAATGTCATCCAGATTCTGTGGCTAGCCAGTGTGAGATACACAAACCAACTAAACATGCTCATTTACGGTCACTTGTTTGACAAAGCACACTTGTTAACTGCTGCTGCAAATACGTGTGAAAAACAGAACAGCTGGTGTGAAAATGAGAGCAGAGAATGGTGAGAGAAGCAGGACAGGAGATATATCATTTTAAATCGTATCAATCAGTCAGTTACAAACTTTCAGTCACTCTGCACTCTGACCTTTGACCTCTCTACCAAAGTTCCTCTGTAAGCCTGCAAACCTTATCTGTATATTACATTGTTATATGTACTGCATACATGTTCTGTGGTCCTAATTTATAGTAATTACAGCAACCAAAACACTTTCATGTTTACAGAGGCATTCACGTTTTTTGTGGTTGACAAATAATTCAAATAATTATAGCTAAAGAGAAAAGCCTCATGTTGAATTAATACATTTTGCTAATCTGTTAATATTTGCATTGATTTGCACAAAAAGCAGATTCAAAGAAGGGCGTGCATATGGCGAGATTCGTGTGCTCCCAGATTACTTCCTGGATATGTCATGCTTCTCGAGTCCCTGAATGACGCTGAAATGTAATCAAATGCATGCAAGTGCAGATTTAAGAGCAAATCAAGGCTTTCCTTGTGTTGGTCAAAGAAAGGTTTGATGTGGAGCAAAAACTCGAGCCTCCTGCAGCGTCTGACCGTAAAAACAATCTGAACGTTGCCCTTGAAAGCTTCTGAGTTTTTGAGCGCGCACAAGGACCCCGATCGCAAGTTTTTCTGTTCCCTTTTAATTTTATTTTTAACTTACCACAAATTCAAACTTCCTCTAGCGAGATAATAGAGCGTGAAATCAGAGATGAAAGCTGCGTGACAGTTGAGTTAAACTCACCGAGGAAGCAGACACGGCTCCACAGCTTCATGGTGGTGATGAATTTACTTTTCTCTCTCTCTCCTACTCACTGAGATTTTAGCCACTTAAAGTTGACGTATGACCATCAGCAGGACTGGTGAGTTTCCTTTTTTGTTTTTTCCTTATTTTGTCCTTTTTAAAGCGATCCTCTTCTTCTGATGCTGCTCTCGCTCCTTAGCTATGAGCTTTCTGCTTGCCGCTTTCTCTCTCTCTTCCTCTCTCTCACGCTCTCCTCCCGCCCTCACTGTGTCTCTTGTCACTCAGTGCCTGTTTCATTTGTGCTTAGTGCTCTATGCTTGTTCTGTTAATGCACGCTACACAAGCTAAAGCATGCTGAAAACAGGGCGGTTGATTGATGTGGGCCCTTTATTTCGAAGAATCTTAAAGTTTTGTACCTTCATCCAACAACTTTAGGATGAAGCTGAACCTGGACTGTGGGTTACAACCTATGACCCGGCATCAGTTTTGGGTTAGTCGCTGGTCCTTGAGTTGCAGGTTGGGATTATAATCTCTGTAATAATAATAATCAGATGAAAACACTGAAAAAAGGAGAGCATCATA